CGGGCGGCATTGGCACCGCGGCACCCACCACGACCGTCAACGGGGTGGGGTGCGGCAGCGGCAGCATCCACCGGCCATACGGCATAATCGGGAACGGGAAGCCGAGGAGTTTTAGCGTCGCTCGCTGTAAACTGGGGAGGTGGATGGTGTCCTGCACGTTGTTCTCCGCAAAGCAGATGATAGGCACCAGTGGCACCCGGTGCTTCAGCGCCAGCCGCACGAACCCCAAGTGGTACGTGACGAGTGACATCACAGTGTCGCTGCGCTTCGTCAGCACCAACTCCGCTTGCCCACCAGTGACGATGAGGGAGCTGTTCCCGTGCGAGAGGTTGCTTTCAATCGCGGAGCGAACAACCGCCAGCGCCCCCAGCCGCAGGTTGAAATCCCGCACTATTGGAACGTTGAAAACAACGCTCGCGGCATGTGTCACGATGTGAGTTTTCTCATTGCACCCAATCTTCTGCTTCCATGAACTCGTCAAGGGGCAGAACAGGGCGGTCCCCGGGAACACACCGTGTGGGTGAAATGAAAAAATGTATTGGTTTTTGCTGTCGCGCATGTTCACCGACTCATCATCCACAATAACACGAAGGTTGAAGTACTTCTCGGTGTCCGCAAAGAGGTACTTCTCCGACCACTGCAAGAAGCCCAGACTTCGCTGCGCCCCACTCTCCTCCGGCTTCCCGTTGTAGAGTGTGATATACCACAGCCACCACAGCAGCAACAGTGCGTCAACCATGTAATACCACAGCGTGCAAAATGCAGCTAGTGTTGTACTGCTATCGAATACGCGCAGGTACTCCAGATATGTCGCGTATCCGAGCAAAGCGTACACATTGAACCTCAAGAGCATACGCAGCTGCTTGTAGGAGCCGCCTACACCCAGCATGATCGACGTAAAGAGGAAGTTTTGTGCTCCAACTGAGTAGAACGGGACAATCAGCACCGGGCCAAAGGTAAAGAAGACGCAGCTAGTGGCGATCGAGTACACCCCAAACGTCACAAAGCACCGCCTGAATCTCACCACATGCACCAGCAACCCATCACTCATGGCGTGTGGAACGAACGAGATCAGAAGTGTGAGGGCAACGGCCACCAACACCAGCGGAAACCAGTACGACACGATGCGAAGTACCCCACTGTGTTGGCTATGCACCATATGGTAGACAAAGAATGCGAATGTCATGGGTGTGGCCATACCAAGCAGCAACATCATAATCTCCGCTATCCGCACAGCAATAGTCGCAAGGACAGTTTTGCGCCGCACCCATCGTCCGTCATCATCGTCGCTGGCGATATCGCTGTCCGGCGACTCTGCCACCTTCACCCATCGCTTAGTGGATCTGCTAAGGGCAATAAGGACAAACGGCACAGTGGCCATCATGCTCATCGCAATAATGAAGAAGGGTACCTTGGACCGCCTCAAAGCCGCAGACGCACCAGCATCTGCATTTCCAACAGCATCTCCTTCTTCATCCGCAGCACCCACGTGTCGGAAAAAATCCTGTGCACGCAGATACAGGTGACTGAAAGAGAAGGCGCCGAGGAATACGAGCATCGCCACAACACCCTCCCCATTCTCCTCCAGGTAGGTCCGGTGCGTGCGACGCGGGTTGAACTTGGGAACCGATGCAAGAATAAGCAGTTGACTCACCACCGAAAACAACGCACCAGCGGGTAGTGTGATATAATTCCCCGCGTCCTCTAGCGTGTGCATGAGCGTCACAATAAAAACACAGGCGTAGCTTGCCCATCCAGAAATCTGCAGTGCTACAAACACAGAGCCGCCCTTAAAGGGCATGAAGAAAGTGTACGCTCCAGTGTGGCCATGCAGCACCAGACCATAAATGCAGTGCATGCTTACGCATGAGATGGTGCACACACTGAATCCGGTCAAAGTGAAGACAAGGCCTATGATTGGCACCGTGGATGTCCAGAGTGCAGCTATCATGAAGCTGGTTGCGGAGGCGAGACAAAGCATCAGCACAAGAAGTGTCGCAGCTCCATGCCGCGTCCCTGCCTCTGTTGAGAATGCAGGCAATGCCTCGTCAGAATCAGACGCCGCTAGATCACCTTCTCCCGCAGCAGCTACTGTTGCATCCTCGCTGTTCATACAAAGGCAGAGGGAGTGTCTGTTGAACTCGACACCGTGCGCGGCAAGGCTTGTCTCTGCGAGAGTCCACAGTGCCACCTGCAATGCCGCCTTCTGAGACGCACCCAATGTATCAACGTTCTTCTCCAATGTTGTCTTAATGACCGCAATTGCATCCTCCACCGCGATGTGCCCACGCCGCCGCGAGGAACGCACACGCGACTCCGTGGCAACCGAGAGAATGATCAGGAGAAGTGGCACAGTCTGCAGAACCCCCTCCAGCGTGAACCACAGCACAGGAATGCTTTCAGGGAGGAGGCGCAGTGAGCCGGCGCCATTCACGGAAATAAAAAGCACGACAAACGCCTTCAACGCAAAGAGCGCGTACACGGACCAGCCCAATGCCTGCAGAGCAACGTACGTCCCACTGCCCTGGAACGGGTGGAATAACGGAATGCCCTTATCCGTCCCAGAGAAGTGCGCCAGTGGCACGCTCATCACGAACGTAAGTGACGCGAAGCCGATCAGTGTGTCCCGCGGAATCGGGATGTTACCCTCAGGCTGAGCTGCAGAGATATCCACAACGAGGCGCAGGATGAGGGAAGTCAGATGCAGCAGTAAACTAACAATCAGTTCACCGTTAAGAATGCCATTCCCCTCGTCCACAACACGAGTCTCTTTCTTTCCATTTTGTGACGGATCCGCGGCGGTGGGGTTCTCGGAGGAAAATGCGGCAATGGAAAACTGCAGAAACAATTGCCCCATAACGCCGGTGGCAGTTGTAAAGAGAATCCAACGAAAATCCGTTGCCGTCATGTGGAACGTCACGCACACGATGGAAGCGCTGAAGGACGTCCAGCCGAGCGCCTGGAGAATAACAAATCCTCGTGAACCGCGAAACGGTTGGAAGAAGCTAAACGCCTCACCGTAAATGGCTCGCGCCGCGAGATGCGTCATGGGTGACAAGATGAGCAGAAACAACACAGCGAGCGTCTGGAAAAGAAGCAAGCCATTAATCCACGCACGACCCTCCACCGTCTGACCGTAGTTGCTCCGCTGCGACTGCACATAGTGCATGATACCAATCACAATGCACGCAGTTGCTGCTGCTGTAGCTGAAAGGGCAAAACGACCGTACCTTGCAACAGTAGACTGAAGTGGTATGATGTGTTCCTTAACTTGAGCGGTTCGCACAATTACGAGCATAGACGCAACACCAACAAATGTAACGAGTGCTGTTAAGCCAAAAGCCACTTGTGGTGCCTCTTTGTTGGTGAGAAATAGTGCGATTCCACCCGCGAATGCGACCAGGTACAGCAGCCATGCCAGCACAAGATACACTGCCTCCACTGGCCCTCGGAATAATGTGAAACCCATTTCATGTCCCCATTTAATCGTTGAATAAATAAGTGTACCATTTAGCACATGAAGGCCAGTGAAAATAAGCATAGCGGGCCGTGAGACACTCCGCCAAAGTGCCCCAACGTTGCACAGGAACATCTGTGACAACAATAATATGATAACCAAACCAGATTCCGAATTGGGGCTATGTAGCATTGGCTTTAGGAACGGTGAGCGTGGCGCTTCATTGGATGACGGTGGCGGCATGCCACCGCCACCCCTTCGTCGCGCCTTTGACGGCACAAAGAACCAAGGTGACACGACCAGGAACACATTTCCCGCAGCCGCGAGCCCTTCCAACATCGTGAGCGCTCCGTAGCTGAATGAGGGCGGCTGTAGCTGGTGAAGATAGACCACCATGAGCGTTGAGGCAGCGACCATCAACCCCCACCCGCAGCCCTGAAGTAGGACATACCTCTCCCCTCCAGCGAATGGCTGGTACACACTGTAGGAATCCCACAGACTGTAGCCAAGGAGAATTGACAAGAGTGCACACAGACTGTTGAGCCCCACTGCAAGGCTTGCTGTGGGTGCAAGGGGGAAAGTCGGCGTGTTGCTCTGAAAAACATCAGCCAGTACGCCAGCTGCCAGCGCCACAACGAACCCAAGTGTCCAGGCCACACCAAGCGAAAGCGTGGAGAAGCGGGGGATGCTGAACATAATATCATTATTTTTGCTAAGGTCATCGCCTTGCCGCTGCTGCTGCTGCTGCTGCCGCAATGTTGCGCGGCAGGGCGTCTCTCGTTTCGGCTCCGCAGACATAGCTTTCCAACTGCAAACTCAGGGAACGTACCTTTCCACCTTCTCGAACACAGAGAGAGGAAGAAAAGGAGAGCCATAAGAAGGGAGTCATGGTAGGGGTGCGAGAATTTAGCTACGATCCCTTTTCTCACCTTCTCTCCCATATCCTTCCCGTTTTTTTTTTGGTTTCGAGATCCTTTCTCTTGCCCGCGCACGAGGAGGAGCACTATGCAAAAAAAAAAAAAACTACACAATTTTGATTGGGGGAATTAGGCATACCCTTATCCAGTCAGAGCGACAAATACATCAAAAATACACGGCTTCAGACAGAGGATTATCTATTAATCTATTTGTGCTTCAAAGCCTCTTTCCCCTTTTGTTTTTGTTTTTCCGAACGATCCCACTTGCCCTCTACATTTTAATAGTGGCAACATTTACTCTTCTGCTCCGTTCCCCTCCGTTGTCTCTTCGTTAACTTCGTCTTCCGCCTCCGAGAATAGCCCGTCGATTTCTTCATCACTTTCAGTCTCCGGCTGCGAGATATAGCGAACATCGTTGTAGTTGTGCAGCACGAGCTTCATATCAGGGTACCCCGCCTTCGCACGCCACTTGAAGAATAGCACCTGCAGATGCTTGAAGTAACGCCTCTGGTATCGTTGGACGTGATCCGCTATATCCGCCGAGTCCATGCCGGGCTCCGGCAGAATCGGCTCGCCAACCACAACAGTGAGGGGGCGCGTGGTGGGCAGCGGCAGGTACCACCGTCCGTATGGTACCGTTGGGAACGGAAATCCCACCTTCTTTACGGCATACCGCTGTATCCGCGGCAGACTAATATTCGCCATCACGTTGTGCTCTGCAAAGCAGATGATGGGCACGAGCGGAACCCGGTGCAGCATCGCAACGCGAACAAACCCACTGTGATGTGTAACCAGATGCATTTCGGTATCGCTCATCTTTGTCAACACCATCTCTGCCTGGCCACCTGTGACAATGAGAGGGCTGTTACCATTTACGATGCTACCCTCAATACCTTTACGCGACACACTCAAGCCGCCTACTGAGAGTACAAAATCGCGCATCATCGGGACAGAAAACACCACATCCGCGCAATGCGAGGTCACGTAACTTTTGTTGTTGCATCCCACTGCCTTGTCCCACTGCTGCGTGTTCGGCATCCACATTGCGGTGCCAGGGAACACACCGTGTGGATGAAAGGAGAAGAGGTACTTATTTTCGGGGTCATTCATATCAACGCAATCATTAGAAACGTGTCCGGCGTTCTCCTCCTTCTCCTTCTCCTCCTTCTCCTTCCCGTCGACAATGATGCGAAGATCAAAGTAGTCCGCGATGCTGGAAAAGACATAACGGCGGAAAAAATCCCGAGATTTGGCACTGTATAGGCGACCACTGATGTGCGGTCTCCCAACGTAGCGGCGGAAGTACCACAACCAGTACCCAGTGAAGACGGTATCGGCGACAAACTTCCACAATGCAAACGGCTCCACACCCTTAATCAGACACGTGTAGAGGTGGTAGTGCAGGAAGTAGCCAAGGAGGCATACATTAATCAACGTTGAAACGGGATGAATGTAGGGAATAGTTGAGATACAGGACATTACAGTCATGCTCACAGCAAAACACCGCGCACCCATCGTGTCTACCACGAGTGGAAGTCCAAAAGACCCCACCACCACGGCGGTTGGAATAGAATAGATTGCATAACAGCAAAGAGCGCTGTAAAAACGGCGCAAAAGCGATCTTCGGTGCTTGCGTCGTCTCCTTGGAGCAAAGAGAGGCACCAGTACGGCGATTGCAAAACCCGTCAACAGGAAGCGAAGTGAACTCGAGGCCGCGCGTAGTGCCGTCAGTCCACTATACGCATGACTGTACAGAATATGAACAAGTAGAAACGGTACAAGCATTGTCACCACAAACGCCAAGAAAGTAGCCACCAAATAACACGACAAGTAGACTGAATTACGAATACCTCTACGGTGTTGCCGATGCTGGGGTGACTGTCCGTCGCTAAAGTACGCCGATGAGTTCAGCCGCGATGCAACGCTGCCGCTTTCAGTACTCATTTCGCTCATCTGCCGGTGGTGGCTCATCCCTATAAAACCCGGTAATGGGGAGGGGTCATCCAACGTTTCAGATAAGGATGCCACACCCGATCTCGGCGTGCGCGAGAGGTCGACGTCCTCGGCATCGTTATCGCTGCCGTCGAAGTTGACCGAGTTGTCGAAGAGGGAGAAGGGCGAGAGAGTAGACATGTCCGCGTTGCGCCCGAGCGACACAAGCCCCAGCGGAACGGCAAAGCATGTGGAGACCGCCGACACGGTGATGGGCAGCAGCGATGACACCGTCCCAGTGATGCGAGACTGTGTGTATAGGTCGTACACCACAGCGAAGGCGAAGGATCCGATCAGCGCGAGCACCGCCATGATGCCCTCCGCGTTCCGCTCCAGCAGCGACTTTGGCCGCGGCGTCGGATCGAAGCGGGGGACTGAGTTCAGAATTGAATACTGCGCACTGACGCTGAAGACGCCAGCAGTTGTGAAGACAATGGCGGAGCCGCGCCCCTCTGCGCAGCTCAGCGCAATGAGCAGTGTTGACGCGGTGTAGAAACCCCAGCCAACCGCCTGCAGCATCACAAACGTGGGCCCGCCGGAGAAGGGCATAAAGAAGGAGTACCGCCCCGACGCGCGGTGCAGGAAGGTACCGTAGACGTAGTGCACGGAGAAGGAGGAGATGGTTGTCACTGTCACACCAGCAGCGCCGAATACAAGCGTGAAGACAGGCTGGCGCTCCGCAAGGAAGGCAGCGGAGAGAAATGCCAACGCACTCGCCACGCTTAGGATTGTCACAATGTGTGTTGCTGCCTCCTGCCGCGCCCGCGCCGTCTCCTCATCCTCGCGAATGAGTCGAGCACCATCAGTGGCCGGCGGTTCCATCCAGCGTGGGCCAGCAATAGCCTTCAGTAGCGTCTCAGCGTGTCGCAGGTCGTCCTCATCCGGAATCGCGCGCAGCAGGACGCGGTACAGCTCAAGCACCTCCTGTCGTGATCGCTCCTGCAGGCTCTTCCTGCAGCTCTGCGCCTGCGTCTCAAAGAAGGCGCCCATGATGAGGCAGACGAGCGGCACCATGGCGAAGAGGCCCTCCATGGTGTACTCCAAGAAAACGTACTGGTCATCCGTAATGGGAAGCAGAAAGTTTTTCCGCTCACCAACAAAGCTGTTGGCAATAACGATGAGAATATTCACAGCGTAAACAGACCACCCAATAGATTGCATCGCAACATAGCCGCCGCTACCGACAAACGGCTGCCAAATCGAAATTCTCTCCCGCATAGACACATGCGCAAGTGGCACTACTACAAAAGATATTATGGTCGATAGCACAAGAAGCGAGTTTGTCGGAATGTGCATAATATCGTCCATTTCTTTTCCACTCCCCACCGCTACGTCTGCTACAACGCGTACGAGGAGACCAATTGTGGAAAGAAGAATTGCTGTTAGCATCTCCCCATTCAACACGGTCGTCACAAGCGAGCGATCCGCCTCCCGCATATACGCTTCCTCTTCATCTATGCTACCAGAGTGTGAGACCTCGTCACTTGGGAACGTGCCGCTGCTGTTAGACGTGCTGAGACCAGCAGCATCAATACTACTCCTCCGTCCATCTTTGCGTCCCTCCTCGAATAGGTGTAGTGAAGCGTGAATGAAGGCCTGTGCCATTGCCGTGAGCGAGGACTGAATGATGACGAAGCGGAAGTGAAGGTTCTCTGTTATCTGCAGGGTGGCGAAAAAAATGGCTGCCCCAAAGCACGTCCAACCGGCGCTCTGTAGAACCACAAACTCCAGCGGACCCTTGAAGGGCATCCACACCTCATACTCCCTGCCAAACGCAATGCGGCCGAGCAGGTGTGTACACGGTGGCATGGCAAATGTGAGCAAGGAGCAGAGTGTCTGACACATGACAAGTCCTTGTCGAAGCCGCGGCTCCACACCGTTGTTCTCTGATGAAAGAAGAAGTGCCACACCCCACACCACAGCGGCGTGAATGGCACTCGCGAGGGTGAGAATGAGTGGTCCATACTCTCCCAGCAGAGACATCTCACTCTGTGATGAGGTCGGAAAACGATGCAGCCGCACGAACAGAAGCAGTGTAGATAAGCTGATCACGGAACTCAGTCCGCAGAGAATGTGCCACGAGGACGGTGAATCAGGGCCCGCCTCGTACAGTATCATGTAAAAATGTAAATTTACAGCCGCGAGAAACCACCCAAATGCCTGCATCATACTCATCCGGATAGTGCCGGCGTTGGGCATGAAGAGGCGGTACCCAGGCGTGTACCAGTAGCCGATCGCCACGTGAACCATGAAGATGCCAAATACGAGGAACACCGCACCAACGACGGCGCTTACGCGGCGCATGGCTGGGTAGTATTCCGAGAAGGAGCAGCACGCAAGAATGGCAAAACAGAATGAAACAACAATGCCGATTTCGCCATTTGGCGATGCAGAAAGGTCATGCCACCATACCAGTGCATCTGTGGATGCTTCTTCTTCGTTCTTTCCAATAATGCTCCTTCGCCGATGCCGCTTTGGTACAAAGAACAGCAGGGATGTCATCAGCGTTATACATGAGATTGTACTGAAGCATCCCAAAACCGTCAGAATTCCGTATCGGTATACAGAAGAGGTAACATCAAACTGTTCTACGTACACCATTTGCATGATACTCGTCGTCACAAGTATACCGTACCCGAAACCCTGCATTACTACAAAAGACTGTCCACCGAGAAAGGGTTGATACAAGCGGAACCCTCGAAGTGCGACTCGGCCAAGGAGTGCACTTAGAAGGGCACAGAACGTGTTCAACCCTATAGTTGTGGCAATAGTAGGAACCAGCGGGAATACGGGTGCCTTACTCTGGAACACATCGGCCAATATGTTTAGCAGCAGTGCACCTTCGCAGGAAATGGTCCACACGATCATCAAGGCGATACTCATCGGATTTGTCATTAACTTCGCCGTGCTGCGCGCCCCCGGTCGGCTTGAGCGTCCATTCTTATAAGCTTGACGTTTTTCTGTCGCCGGTGTGGGTTCCCGATGCCGTGCCACTGTATCTCCCTCTGAGTCCATTACCCGTTGGAAACGCACCACAGCACCTGGATACTTTTTCCTAAGTATGGGAGACTACCACTACGCGATAGCAAACAAGCAACGTCAAGAAAATTGACAGCAAAACAGTCATGCAGTCCACCAGAAGTTATTTACTATTGACGCCCACTTTAGTCACCCTCTCACCACACACAAACACAGACGGATAGAACGGCACGTATTAATGAGAAACAAAAAAGGCACAGCATCCCCACNACCTTCCCAGTGCTACTCTGCCACCAGGCCCTTCGACTGTGCTTCTCTGCGGAGCTGTTCCTCAAATGTTTGCAGATCCTGCATGCACGCATCGATCGCCTCCAGCAGAGCGTCTTTCGGCGTAGGAATCGGACGGCCCGAGCCGTCGGCAGATGTCTGCACCCGAAGCTCCACACGGTGCTGCGTGGGGTGAGGCACACGGTAACCTGCAATGTGCACCAGCGAATTCTCGTGCAGCTTCATACGCAGAATGTTTGCTAGTGTGTGGTCCTCCTTCTCCAATTTAAACAGTGATGAATTCGGCATCTTGCTTGAGACCTCCTCTGTGATCTTGCGGGTGCCCTTCGTGTCCACCAGGCTGTCAGCCGTGATGTCGTTGTTGTAGATGAGCATGCCATGGGTGGCCGACATTTTGACTGCGCCACTACAAAAGGATCTGTGTCTCGATGTGCACAAGTGTGTGAGTGGGTGTATGTGTGTGTGTGTCTTCGTTTGTATCTTCGTGCGTCCCTGCTGTCCCTCAGCAACTATTTTGCCCAACTGCAGGTCCACAGGGGGGGAGGGCACAATATCTCTCCACAGAAGCAAAGGAAGCCCAAAGAAAAAAAAAAATAGCACAGAAACGAAGTAAATAGCGTGCATGTCCGTGCCTCTGTGTACTGGCTGGGCACGCCACGGTGAGAAGGTGCTGTAGAGAAAGAGATGTTCGATGACGCCACGTTACACGCAGCAGAGCGAATACCCCTTCTTCCATTTCATGCTTGTCTCGTCATGCTCACTCTCACCAGGGCAGACCCGTCTTGGAGTGATCCACCCACCAACACAGTCTGGATGCCACACAGCAGCACCTGCAGCCAAACCCCAGAATCACACCAGTAGTGCACCACGCCCCACACTCGCAGTGCTCTTGAAAGGGCACAGCCACCCGACCATTCATTCCACCAAACACACATTCACGGAAAGCAGTGATTAGCCCTTTAACGCTTGTAGTACTCTTCCTATTGCCTTACATCACCGTGGATGTCCGCGCTGTTCTTCCCTGCTATCTCCTCCTCGGTGCATAGCAGTACCACACGTTACCGGCCTGATGAAGGCAGCTATACGTCAATCATTGATACACCAACAGCGACACCGATAAAGAAACAAACAGAGAAGCCTCGCTCAGAAGAGAGCTCCCTTCACCGCTCGCAGCAGGCGACGCAGTGCCCAAGCAAATAAGACCCTTGACACTATTGGACCTGTAAAGAAAAACAAAGCCACGAGAGAGAGAACGAGAGAGGAGCATGGGCACATTTACCGTCCACAACTTGAGAAGGCCGTGGTGTGCGGAATGGGACGAGAGGAGATGCAACGTTAAACATGCATCCTCTTGCATCCCTTCACCGCTCCTTCTCTCACGCTCTTCCGGCGGCGCACAACGCCAACTCACCCTTCGCCTCATCCNCCATAGGTAACGAGTGTTAACCCACAACGCACGCGGTCACTGCTTCTGTTTGTCTGTGCCCTCCTACTCGCCCCTTCCTCTCCATGATGTGGCCACGCCATTTTGGCTTCACCTATTCCCCACGCAACGAAAAAACAGACATTTGGGACCCCCCTCCCCCCCCCCCCCCCCCCCCCCCCCCCCCCCCCCCTTCTCCTCATCGTACATCTATCCACCATACACAGACACCCACGCTGTAGTCAACGAAGCGAAGTCAACAGCAGCTGTGGTGCGTTGCCACCGTCACCCCGCACCTCCTTCGCTCATTCCTTTACCTGCTGCACTTTGTTCCTAACACTGCCCAGTCACACTTCCTCCGTGTATTTCTCTCAGTCTCCCCACACCGCACTCACACAAAATACACAGACACATACATTCTCTCTCCCTACTTCTTTGGAGTGAACAGCTCTATTTGTACAATATGGCGGCGGTCGAAGAGGACGTTATGGTCAAAGAGGTACCGCGCCTCACCGTACGCGATGCCAGAGCCGACACCCGCACAGAATAAAACGATAGAGCTACGCGCCGCAACGGACCGCGCCATGAGAAGCGACGGGAGAATGCCGGAGATCAGTCCCAAACTGGATTTTCGAATGAAGTTCTCTATGCAATGATCCCACTTCTCTCCATTCTCGATCGGCGTCAGCGGCTGCAAGACCTGCTGTGCGCTCATTGATCCACCTCTTAATTAATATTCTTACTACCTCCAACTGCTACTATTGGGTTTTCTTTCCTTGCCTATTATTACGCCGTTGCGGGCGTTGAAATGACGCCAGAGGAGAGCCACAAAGGATCATACACGGAGCCGGAGAGAGAGCAATCACAAGCACACAGACACACACACACACACACACACACACACACACA